GCTTCTGACAATTTAAAAAAAGGGGGGGGGGGGGTAGTTATCGTCCAACACTACGTCAGTTTTGCTTATAAATAGAGATGGGGATCAGATACGGCACATACCAGTAAATAATGATAGTCCTGTGTCTACGTTTAGCAGCCGCTGTGCTTATAGTCACTCTTGGTAAGTTCCTACATGTCAGGAAAGTTCTTACATTATTTAATTCAATAACACGCCGTGGTCAGGAAAGTACTCACGTTTAATTTAATAGCAACCAAGACTGCGTGGACTGTTATCAAACGTGGGCGAGAATCTAGTTCGAATTTATGAAATGGAATTTTATTCACCATTTCAAAATAATAATAATAATAATTTTCTATTATTATTGTTTTTAAAATAATAATAATGATAACTTAAGCTGGTAAATCAAGACCAATCCCAATAGTAAGCAATCCGGGTTTGGGCCGATAGGAAGGACCCCTCCGTCGGTGGATTAACCAATTCCAATAGTAAGCAATCCGGGTTTGGGCCGATAGGAAGGACCCCGCCGTCGGTGGATTGACCAATCCCAATAGTAAGCAATCCGGGTTTGGGCCGATAGGAAGGACCCCTCCGTCGGTGGATTGACCAATTCCAATAGTAAGCAATCCGGGTTTGGGCCGATAGGAAGATCCCGCCGTCGGTGGATTGACCAATCCCAATAGTAAGCAATCCGGGTTTGGGCCGATAGGAAGATCCCGCCGTCGGTGGATTGACTTCTGTTAGCTGATGAGGATACCCGGTATACCCTAAACACCTGCAACATGAAGCTCCACGGGTCTCACAACTTGCGGCAAGTCGTCAACTCTACCTCCCCGGGACGGACGTCTCCCTGGTAAAGGCGGACAGATGAAGAAGTTACTGTACATGTGCTATTATTATTTCATTCCAAGATTATTTTTTTCAATATTTGCTAAATGCTACCTAGACAACTCTTTTTTTTTTTTTACAATGCCAAATCCAGTTTTAACCAGAAAAAAGACATGTCATAACTCGACTGACGTCTTAAACCTCAGCCCAGAGCAGTTTCCATAATACTAAAACTGGAAATATTTTTACACAAAATGAAAATAGAAGTTGATGGAGAAACAAAATTATTTCGGACCGTAAGTCTGGTGTTTTTTCCTTTTCTTAACAAAATTAAACTTAACAAGTTCGCAATTCTCGTTGACAGTATGCACTGTCTTCATTGACAGTAAGCACTGTCTTCATTGACAGGATGAACTGTCTTCACTGACGGATCCAAGAAATAGCTTTCCCCGATCCCGTCGTGTTTTGAACAACTACATGATATGAATATTAATTAACTCGACTTAATTTTCATCTCATTAGTCCCGTTGACACAATGCTTCATGCCTTTTATTTTGGTGAAATCTTGTTCAACTTATTTTCTATATTTTGTCAGACTGAACGATTGAGTGGTGATAGTATTAAGTGTCGTGCATTACGTGTAATCGACAGTTGAGGGCCAGGCAAGACCTTTTCAATGCCAGGCGCGACAAGGGAGGGAGCCCAATCTATCCGACGACGCCTGCGCCACATATTACGTCTGCTCCAACTACAGTGGTCAGCTAAGACGTTGTCAGAATAGTCAGCAGTTTGACTTTAGTGACCGGGTAAATATGAATTTGTGTGTGCTCCGGATTAATTATTGGTTAGCGTTTGTTTGTTTGTTGTTGTTTGTTTGTTGTTTTTTTGTTTTTTGGGGGTTTTTTTGGAGGGGGGGTGGGGGGAATGTGTGTGTAGAATCCCCGTATGCTGGCTTTTACAACTAATGGCTACAATGTGTATCATGTGTAGTTAAAAATGTTGAAATTTTCTATGTCTCAAATAGACTTAATGTGTACACCAGTATCCAACTAACGATTGTACTTATTAGTGCTCGGGTAAACTTAAATCTATGATATTCTCTAGACTATAGACCATGTGTGTGCCCTTGTTAAATCCTCCCTAGCAGCTAATTCACCATAGTACATAGACTGCCATTGGGGTTAAGCCTTACATGGACCCACGTGGGCGACCTTATCATTGTAAGGTATCATTGCCAAGTATCTGGAACCATGGGTATCCGCGGGGGGGGGGGGGGCAAGGGGGGCCCTTGCCCCCCCCCC